GATCCAAGGCGGCCCCTGGACAGCTCTCGGCGAGGGCCGCTGCTCCGGACGTGTAGATTGGACGGCGGCTATACCCATCCTTAAAGAAAGGCGGGGGGGGGAGGAGGAGGAGGAGGGGAGTAGGCCCAGCCACACACCTGCCCCAAGTGGCAGACGGAGGTGCCTGGGAGGGTTTTACATACCCGTCCTTGGAGAGCTCGGCTTAAGTGCGGGGAGCGGGAACGACCTCATGAGTGACGCCGCGGCGGCACATGTGACACCGCGGCGGCACGGGTCGAACCGTCACCCTTGTTGCACTGGTGTACTGGGTTGGCAACTGACGCCACAGAGTAATAGATATCTGACATTGACAGGCACCGTCAGCCGGCAGGGGATAAATCCCGTTCACGGCCCCATGGAGGAATATGAGGAGTTGGTTTACTGGTGTGTTGGTAGATTGGTGCATGAAGGTGGAGGTACGTTTGGACCCCTCCCTGCAGCCGTCTTCGTTGGCCGAGGGGCTGCAGGGAGGTCCTCGGCCCCCTCCATTGGCTATTGACGCCGTAAAGTATTGGTGTATTGGTGTATTGGTGGGAGAGGGCGACCCCCGCGGCCCCTATGATGGCAGCCGCAGGGGGTGTGAGGCCTATGATGGTCCTCACTGGTGAGGCCTGTGATGGTCCTCACCGGGGTGGGGGTGGGGGAAGAGGCCAGAAAATCGAAACGGATGTCCGGCAGCAACGTCCTGGGGGGATACCTGAAAAAAGGAGACTTAAGAACAACGTCTGTCCTCCGCCTATGTTCCAGAGGAGCCCCGTTCAAAAAACAGAGGCAGAGAGAGAGAGAGAGAGAGAGAATGGGGGAGAAAAGAGAGAGAGAGAGAGAGAGAGAGAGAGAGAGAAAGAGAGAGGGAGAGAGAGTGGGAGAGAGAAGAGAGAGAGGGAGAGAGGGAGAGAGAGAGAAAAGAGAGAGAGAGAGAGAGAGAGCGAGGCAGAGACGAGGACAAATGTTTACGCCTCGGGGGGTCGGCCCCCTTGACCCGGAAAATGCGAAATACACATATTTCGTATCACAAGGTAGCTGGCAGCGAAGCAGCATCATGGCACCCTGGGAGCGTGCAGCGGCAGGGATGCGGAGGAGGAGGAGGAGGCGGAGGAGGAGGAGGAGGAGGAGGAGGAGGAGGAGGAGAGGAGGAGGAGGAGGAGGAGGAGGAGGGGGAGGGGGGGAGGGGGAGGGGGAGGAGGGGGGGGAGGGGGAGGGGGGGGGGGGAGGGGGAGGGGGATGGGGGGAAGGGGGAGGGGAATGGGAGGGGGAGGGGGAAGGGGAGGGGAGGGGGGGGGAAGGGGGGGGGGGGGGGGGGAGGGGCAGGGGGGAGGGGGAGGGTGAGGGGGAGGGGGAGGGGAGGGGGAGGGGGGGGATGGGGGTGTGGAGGGGGGGGGGGAAGGGGGGAGGGGGGAGGGGGAGGGGGGGGGGAGGAGGGGGGAAGGAAGGGTGAGGGGGGGGGGGGAGGGGGGGGGAGGGGGAAGAGGGGGATGGGGGGAGGGGGGGAAGGGGGGGAGGAGGGGGAGGGGGAGGAGGAGAAGGAGGAAGGAGGAGGAGGAGGAGAGGAGGAGGAGGGGGAGGAGACGATTCAGGAGCAGGAGCAGGAGGAGTGGAGGAGGAGGGAGAGGAGGAGGAAAAGGAGGAGGAGGAGGAGGAACAGAGGGTGTAGGAAGGTCGAGGTCGAGAGTGCTGGCGGAATGCATTGCCATAGCGACGTCTGGTCCCAGAATGTGAAACTTCCCGTGTTGACAAGGGGTCTCGAACAGACGATGTGCAAACACAAACTGCCGATCTTATCGGCCGCGCGGCCGGGACAGAAGGAAATGAGGTCACGTAACAAGATGTCCCCCCCCTCTGGGGGGCATCATCGAACAGCTTACGTGCGCAGAAATAGCAGGTAGCAGAGGGATGCGGCTATATATATATATATATATATATATGTATATGTATATATATATATATATATATATATATATATATAATATATATATATATGTCTAGGGTGGGGCGGTGGGAAGAGTAGACAGCAAAAACAGGAGGAGGGCGCGCTGCAGTGACAGTACGGAAACCAAAGGACAGAGGACGGGGTAGCCACGGAGGAACGCGACGCGAGATGGAAGAAATAGCGACGAGACATGGGATACCGTCGGCCCACAGAGAGGCGAGGGCTCCGGGTCCAAAGATGCGTGGGATTGGGATCGAACGGTCCAATGTTGCGCCCCAGTAAAAGTGAAGGAGGCGGCCGTTGCCGCCGAATATGGCCAGGGGAGTCTCGCGGGGCCTGACCTGCCCTACAGTTGGTGGGGTAGGGGGATGAGTTGGAAGAGAGCAATAATACCGGGGCAACAAGAAAGGCCCAGCATACAGGGTCAACGACGAGGGGCGTAAACCCTGCATGAGGGGCCAACGCATGTGAAACCATAACCCCATCGAACCATAAGACATGTACAATCGATCTCCATGGAGCGTAACTGTCTGGACGTCGGAACTGCAGATAGTGTGGCAGGGGTGACATGATTGATCAGCCCCATCGGGCTCCCATTAGCACAGAGCAAAATAGGGCCGAAACTTGGCACAACAAAGTGTGGCTCATTGTGTTTGCTTGTGGTTTCAGCGATATCAGCCGATAAGGAGGTGATGGGTGAGGCGAGCGACGGAACGAAACTTCATATTAAAACTATGGCCGAAATAATGATATCATGGTCAGATAGCTAACATACGCAGGGCAGGTCGAGCATGCGGGCACCAGGTAGTCGAGAGGAAAGACATCATGCGGAGGGGAGCAAAGTGGAGAATCGGCCCAATGTTGCAGGGGGCCAGAGCATGGAGAAGAGAGAGATAGAGAGAGAGTGAGAGAGAAAGGAAATAAAAGCATGCCAAGCGTGAGGCAGGGCCGAGAAGGATGGGAGCACGGGCGGGTAACCAGACAGGAAAAGGATAGGGTAAGTAGGGGAAACAACGGCAAACCGAAAAATTGAGGTGATGATGTGAGCGCAGACCCACGCTGCGTGCATAATCGATTTTTTTCAGAGCGGAATGGTGTGGACGCCGGCAATGAAGTTGGTAAAGCCGGCGGCCGGCAGGTATCATGCAGGCAACGAATGGTATCGTGCGCAAGGCAGAAGCCGAGAGGAATAATGGATCGCGCGGCAAGCCAGAGGGAAAGGGGGATGGAACACACATCGGGAATCAGGCAGGCAGAATGGAGGATGAGGCAAGGACAGGGCCAGCGGGTGCCGGAAAGGCAAAGGGATTCATGTCGCGGGCAGCCTGAAAGGAAAAAGACGGGATAAGTGCTGAAATCAGGTAAGCAGTATGGGGGGTAATGATGTGAACGCAACTCCACAGGACGTGCAGAGTCGATCTCATTGGGAGCGTGACGGTCTGGATGTCGGCACTGCATGCAGAATGACAGTGGTGGCGTGATTTGTCCGCCCCGTCGTGCCCCCATGGGCGGAGAACAAATTAGGGCCGACACTGGCCACAACAAAGTGTGGCTCTTTATGTATGCTTGGCTGCTGCTCTCACAGCCGATAAGGAGGTGAAGGGTGAGGCGAGCAGTTGCGGAACATGCGCCACAACCGAGCTTATAGGTGACAGGTTGGCCCGACCAGTCATTGGATTATCAGGTGACGTGTCCGATTTCAGGTGCGAAGATTAAGGATGTTCCCGCTCAGTATGGATCATGCCAAAACACCTTGGCTCGCAGGGCCGAGCGAAGAGCAGGATGGAAGAGGATCGCGCGCCCCTCGGTTCTGGCATCCCAGAGCCATGAGCCCTCGAGTTGGGTAATGGGCCGCATGGTAGCCATGAGTCGCGCAGGATGGACAGCGGCGGAGGGGAGACGGACCGGAGCTGGAGAGTAAGGTTCTGGCCGAAAAGATGGGATAACGGCGGGATAGCCAACATACGCAGGAACTGTCCTGCATGCGGGGATCAGGTGGCCGAAAGGAAGGATATTATGCTGTGGGGAGCAATGTAGACGATGGGTCCACGAATGCAGGGGGCAAGAGAGAGGGAGATAGAGAGAAAGACATACAGTCGGGGCGCTGGACAAGGAACCCTTTTCGTTGGGGAGGGGCTCCGTGTTCCTTGATTGTTTCAAAGCTTCCTTTGGGTTCTCCTTAGGTGTTCGATGGGAAATCGAAGTGTAACTCGTGGAAAAAAGGGGCCTCGTGCGTTATTTAAGGTTCCTTAGGTCAACGCCCCGACTGTGTATATATATATATATATATATATATAAAAAGAGAGAGAGAGAGAGAGAAAGAGAGAGAGAGAGAGAGAGAAAAAGAGAGAGAGAGAGAGAGAAACAAAAAAAAGGAAAACGGGAAGAGAAGCCCAACGAGGGCATGAGAGATGGGGTAGCCGCGGTGGAGCACGACGCGGGATAGGGGACCAAAGCCTCCGGGCCTCCGGGATCAACCGGGGGGTAGTTGTCGGCGCCGCTGGGTGTGTGCTGTGAGGCCACCCGAACCTGGACCGACCGTCCACGGAGAAGCGATGGTTGCGGGTGCAAGGATGCGTGGGGTCGGGACCGAAAGGTCCAATGTCCTGTCCCTGCAAAAAGAGAGGAGTAGCGGCTGGTACCGCTGGATTTGGGCAGGGAAGCTTCCCGAACCCTGATCTGTCCTACACTTGGCGCGGGCAACCGGATGAGCTGGAACATGGCAAGGACATCGGGGAAACAGGATGGCCGAGGAGGGCGAGGATGCAAGATGGATTGTTGATGTCGCCCCAGTTCCCTAACCGAATGGAGCCCATCGAGAGCGCTCTCTCACAAGAGCCAAACCCTACAGGCTGCGGGTGGCCCTTGGTACGGGGGGGGAGGAAAAGGAGGGAGGAGGAAGAGGAGGAGGAGGAGGAGGAGGAGGAGGAGGAGAAAGAGGACGGGGGAGCAGGAGCAGCACCTCCAGCTGCTGTTGTGATTCCTCCTGCTCCTGCCCGTTTTCCGTTCGCTTCTTCTCCGCCGCCGTACTCTCAGCGAGGACTGCGAGAGTCACCCCCCCGTTCCACTTGGACAGCCCAGGTGGAGGGCGCGCAGCTTTTCCTCCCCTCTCCTGGGTCGTATCGGCTCGCAGCACTGGGGGCAGCAACCTCCGCGAGATCACCCCGTCCTCGGCTTTGGCTCCGCACCAGGGCGCGCTTCATCGGACGAGGGGAAGTGTGTGTGTGTGTGTGTGCGTGTGTGCGTGTGTTTGTGTGCGTGTGTGTGAGGCGTGGCTGGGGGGCGCTCCAGCGACGTGGGAGCCTGAGAGAGAGTCTGTCTGTCTGTCTGTCTGTCTGTCTGTCTGTCTGTCTGTCTGTCTGTCTGTCTGTCTGTCTGTCTGTCTGTCTGTCTGTCTATCTGCCCGTCTGTCTGTCTGTCTGTCTGTCTGTCCGTCCGTCTGTCTGTCTGTCTGTTTGTTTGTGTGTCCGTGTGTTCGTGTTTGTGTCTGTGTGTCTGTGCGCCTGCGATTGTGAGTGTGAGTTTTTGTGTTGGTGTGGGTGCGAGTGTGAGTTTTCGTGTGAGTGTGAGTGTGAGAGTGAGTGTGTCTGTGTGTCTGTGTGTTTGTGTGTCTGTGTCTGTGTCTGTGTATCTGTGTGTATGTACTGTGTCTGTGTGTGTCCGTGTGCCTGCGTGTGTCTGTGTGTATGTGTGTGTGTGTGTGTGTGTGTGTGTCTGTGTGGCTGTGTGTCTGTGTGTCTTTGTTTGTGTCTGTGTGTCAGCTAGGGTCTAGCCTGGGCCAAAGCGCAGGCTGTACCCTAGGCCCCAGGGTAGAGTAGGTAGGGCCTATACCCCCAGGGGTCCACATCGAAGTGTCTGCCACCGCTGGGCGGCGTCCACGTCCGCGGCCTTTCGAGCCTTGCCCCAGTTCCCTGGGGAGCAGGCGGGCCTGGACATCGTCGCGCCCGCAGGGGCGGGTAAGCGTGTTCCCGCCCGCCTATTGTCCCGAAGCCTTGGAGCATGGCCTCCGAGGCGGTGGACATGAACCACCGCCGTGCGCTCCCAGGCCCCGCTGTGGGCCATGTCCTGGGTGGCCGTTTTGTTTCGGGAAAAAGCGCGCGGCCGTTTTGTTGCTGATTTCGCGGGCGACGGTTTGTAACAAAACGGTGAGTGTGTGTTGTGTGCGTCCTTTGTTTTGAACAACTGATTGTGTTCTGGACAAGAACGACGTTCAGCTCGCGCCCTGCCAGGGTGTGCGTGCCCCTTCCCCCCCGCTCTGGCCAGGAGGCGATGTGCTAGTGCACGGCTCCGCGGCCAGACCAGGAACCGATGCCCATCTGCCCGCGGCAGATCCCGCCAACGCGCAAACGCGGCAGCGCATACTGCCCAGACTGCCCGCTTCGTTCCTCATCATCCTGTCTCACACCTCTTATTCAATCGCTTCGCTCATTCCGCCGGCCCACGTTGCATGATCGCTACTGCTTCGCCGTGGGCCCGGGGCCATTGTGGCGCCGCCGAAGAGGAAGAAGATGAGGATGGGGAAGTGGAGGGGAGAAGGAGGAGAGGATGAGAAGGAGAGGAGGAGGATGAAGATAAGTAGGAGGAGGAGGAGGAGGAGGAAGAGGAAGGGGCGGAGGAGGAAACCTCTCGTTGGCATCTTGTGTTGCTCTTGGGGCCAAACAGGGTCGTCGTCAAGATGCTTCTTTGGGAGGCCTCTTGGGGTCTTTTGAGAAGCCGTTCGGGGGCGACTGGGAGGCATTTTTGAAGCCTTCTGGGGGGCCTCCTGGGGGCCTCCTGGGGCCTCTTGGGGGCCTCTTGGCGGCGTCTTGGGGCCTCTTGGGGGCCTCTCGGGGCCTCCGGGGCCCTCTTGGGGCGGAAGGCGCGAGGTTTCGGTTCGTGGTCCCCCTCTTGGGCCCCTCTTGGGGCCCTCTTGGGGCCGTCTTGGGCCGTCTTGGGCGCCTCTTGGGTCGTCTCGGGGCCCTCTTGGGCCCTCTTGGGGCCCTCTTGGAAGCTTCTTGGCCCGTCTTGGGGCGCTCTTGGGGGCCTCTTGGGCCGTCTTGGAGCATCGGATGGCCGAAAAGGGGACAAGGCCCAAATCCTTCCAAAACCATTGTAACATTTATGATTTTGGCCTCTCGGGGCCCTCTTGTGAGGCCTCTTGGAGGCCACTTGGAGGCCTCTTGGGCCGTCTTGGGGTCATCATCGGCGTTTTGGAGCGCTCTTTTGGCGTCTCGGGGGCCCTTTGGGCAGTCTTGGGGGCCTCTTGGGGCATTCTTGGCGCGCTCTGGGGGGCCTGAGAAGCCACACCCAGGAGGAAAACCATCTCTGGGTAGCAGTGGTCGGGCTGCGGTCGGGGTACTTTCGCCGGGGGACCCCCAGGGGCCGCCCCGCGCGCGCGAACTAGAAATATTGTTAACCAGTTACCGGAGATCTTAGCACGCCTCTGGCCCGTTGGGCCGGCGAATTTTTCCTGCTCCTCCTCCCGATGTATTAAATGGCGTTGGTTGTAACTTCTCATGCGACGGGGACGTTCGGTAAGAAGGTGTGCATGAGGATTCTTTATGACGGCGGCAGTGATATCCATGGTCAGACCTCGACGGGCGTTCCACCAGCTTTCAGACCCTGGATTCCTTCCCCGAAGGTTCCTCATCCAATGTCCTCACATAATTTGTTCCAGACTGCATGTCTATATCTTTTCTCTTTCTGATATATATATATATATATATGTACACACCTATACGACCACCCTGTGGGTGATAAGGAAATTAGGGGGGGAACAATGGACAAAAGTGGTGATTGTTGTTCTGATAATGTCTGCGGGGCGGAGTCTAGTGAGTAGTGTGTTTGTGCACGGGATCGTGATGTGATGTGGCGAGATTGGCGAAGCGCTCTCGACATTGTCGTGAAGCGCTGTCCCCGCGTGCGCTTATCAATCGCGCGAACCTCACCTCAGCGCTAGTCGACGTGGTCGAACGTGCGTGCTGCGGTGCCACAGTGACTGCTCGCTGCGCCACCCGATGCTGCCTTGGTTGCAGGTCCGGCGCTTGAGGCACGACCTGCGGGACACCGCGGGCCACCGGCCGCCGGATGAGAAACATTTGGTCTGGCCGCGGCCCAGCCACAGGTGGATTTCGGGACACCAGCGGGATACTGGCGGGACACCGCGGGCCACTGGCCGCCGGAGGAGAAACATTTGGTCCGGCCGCGGCCCAGCCACAGGAGGATTTCTTTTCGCCCGCCCACGCAGCTTCGCCTCGCCCGCACGCACGCCGGGCACGCACGACACGAACCCGAAACCGAAATCGATTTCCTGGTAGAGGGGGTCTCCGTTTCACGTCGGACTCACCTCCCAACCTCCGATGTATACACACCATCCGCGAGAAGACCGAGGCAGACGAGGAGGATAATGATCACACCGATGCCAGTGTGCCAGCGCATCAGCGCAGCCGGAGGGAGGTTTAGTTCGAGGTTCGTTTTTGTTCAGACATGGTGCTAATCTGGAGCTGGTCTTGAACGCAGCCTCGTTGCCCACAATACCCTTCTCCTCTTCTCCATCTTGACATCATCTTGGCGGCGCGTATGAGGCTTATTAAGGGCATCTTGGATTGGAGGGCGGTCGGGGGCTTTGGGGGGGGCCTGTTGGGGGCGTCGTGGGTGCCTTTGAAGGGCCTCTCAGGAGCATGTTGGGAGTCTTGGGGGCAATCTCAGAGAGAAAGGCATCCAAGGTCAATTCGAATTCGCCCTCTTTGCCCCTTTTGAGGGCCTCCTTGGCAGTCTTGAGGCCCTCTTGGGCCAGTATCGGTGCCCTCTTAGGAGCCTTCTAGAAAGTCTTTGGGCGGTTTCGGGCGCCTCTTGGGCCGTCTTGAGCTTCAAAAGCCCGAGAAGGTGCGTATGCCAAAATCGACCATCTAACTACAGACAATAGTGCGGTGTTAGTTGCGTCCTCTTGGAGCCGTCTTGGACGAATTTGGGTCCTCTTGGGCCGTCTGGGGGCCACATTGGGCTGTGGACCCTCTTGAGCCATCTCGGGGCTCGTTGCGCCGCCTTTGGACATCATTGGGCAGCCTTCTCCGCACACTATTTCGCTGCCTTGGAGCCGTCTGCAGGCCCCGAAAATTGTGTCGGAAAGCAAAACCAGCGAGGACGGTTTGCAAAACCCACGCGTCCCGAGGGGAGGGGGTCGGCCGTGTAAGACTGGAGGATAGATCAACAGGCAGCAGCCAGGCACTTAGCAGTGAATGCGCAGGCAGAAGAAAACGCAGCGAAGCCAGATTAGGCAGCGGCCCTACCAGACAGTAGACAAGCACTCTGCCACGCCCCAGTGCCCCAGTGTGTCGAAGGCACGGTGGCGCACGCACCAGGGTCGGGCACCCAGGCCAAAGGCGACCCTACTTTTTTCCAGGGAGCCCCAGACTGGTACGGCTTCTGGTTGCGCTCAGATAGCCCCCCAAGGTAGTCCCAGCTGGCCTCAACACCCCACCCCGTAGTCCCAGCTGGCCTCACCAGGCCCCCCGAGTAATCCAGGGCGGTCTCAACACCCGGGCGCTGCCTCTGGCAGCGCCCATGGGTCGCTCCGCGCCACAGGGTTGAGGTGTTGAGACTGCCCCGGACTGCTCGGGGGTCCTATTGAGGCTGGCTGGGGCTATTCGGGGGGGCCTGTTGAGGCCAGCTGGGACTACCTGGGGGGCTGTCTGTGCGCATTCCGAAACCTTCTCACTCCAGTCGGCCTCCTGAGCACCTTTCACGAGGACAAGAGGGCCCCAGGGGCCTCAACGTGTCACGAACAGCTGGGGGGCACCGCGGGCCAGGATCGCCCTGGTGCAGCCCTAAGAGGAAGCGTGGGCTTTTGTAGAGGCCTGTGGTGCTGGCGTTACACTTCCCCTCTCCCTCCGGTTTCCTGCAATGCAGCCTTCGAGGCTCCTCATTCGAAGAATGAAAGACTGCATAAATATAATCTGTCGGAGGTCCGCGCTGATTTGCTGGATCGGCGCTGGGCCTCCTGGCGGCGCCGGGCGCGCCGCCGGGCGGGCTCAGCGCCAGTCCAAGAAATCCGCGCGGACCGCCGACAGTTTATGCTGATGCCGCTTGTTTTTCTTCGATCCTCCTCGCCGCCCTGCTCGGCTTCGCCCCGGCGGCGGTTGCGCACCTGCGCGTGAAGGACCCGGAGACCGCCGGCGCCATGGCCGCCGTGGAGGGCGACGCCTGCCCACCAGACGAGTACAAGCGCTTTACGACCATCGTTTGCAAGGTCGAGGCGACGTGCGGCTGCGCCGACACCCTCTGCAAGCTGCCCTGGTGCCAGGACTTCAGAGGAGAAAGAGGTACCAACATCCTGACAGATCCTCTTGTCGTTGAAAAATCGTGACGGAGTGTTTTGTATATTTCTGGCTTCCAGGGACCCTTACTGGGCCCGAGGACCGTCCAAAAACGCTTCGGGATGAAAAGCCAGCTCCCCAGAAAGGGGTCCAGATCTCTGGAGCTTTCGGGAGCCACGTTATGCACAAATCACGACTTCGGATGTCTGGGAGGGGATACCGATACCACCGTCGTCCACCTTGAAGAACCCTCGTCGCCACGGTTGGACTCTCCCCGAAGTCCTGGTTGGAGCGCATCCCAGGAGAGGTCCAGGGAGTAGTGGTATCGGTACCGCTGCTCGTCCTGGAGAGCCCTCGTCGCCACGGCAGGATTCTCCCCGATGTCTCGGTCAGAGCGCACCCCAGGAGAGGTTCAGGGAGTAGCGGTATGGATGCCCTGGGTCACCCACGGGGGCGCGAAGAAAACATTGTTTCGCCGGCCTGGATCGGAAAGGTGGCCTTCTCTACTGGGGTGCCGCGAAGGCGCTGAGATAACTGCGCATCGCTGGGCGCGATGCGCGAAATTTGGTAACCTAGGTACATTTTTGTCTCCGCAAGGATTACGTGCACAACTGGAGGAAGGAGTTCGGCGCCTGCCTGCTGAAAGGGTGCCAGCCCGAGTAGGCCCGAATATCCCAGAGCGGAACGGTACAATATTGTCATGCAGTGCGCCTTCCCGAGCGTTCCCCGGCAACCAGCGGCCCGCGGGGCAATCGAAAACCAACATCCCAGCCATCATCGGTGCAGCGGTGTGGGTAATCACGGTGCACCGGATGGAAAAATAGAGAGTTTATCCTTCCTCTCTTCTTTTCTCTCCTCTCTTGTCTCTCCCTCCCTCCCCACTCAGGGCGAGCCCCGACGCGAAGCCTCCCGCTTCTCATTGCCCGGCGAGACCGGACCCGCGCCATTCCAGCGCGGGGCTGATTCACGTCCCCTTCCGTACCCCGCAGATGGCCGCAGCCATGGCTCCGTCGTCGACCGGCCGCCGAAAGCCCTTGAAGGGCGAGCCGCCTGTTGAACGCACCCCCCCGCGTCGCAAGCAGCTGTGCGTCGCCTCGCTCGTCAAGAGCGGATGCGACCGCGCCAACCAGGCGTCCAACTTATTGTCCGGCGCAACTCCACGCCGAAGACCCCCAAAACGCCTTCGACAACCACCAGGACGACGCCAAAAAACTGAGTGTTGCCTTGGCGCGCATCTGCGCGTCCAACGGTATCAGCTACAGGCAAGACCCACTCCGAACGCACCACGCAAAAACGTGACGACACCACAATCACCCCCGACCGCCACGGTGCACGCTCCCAGACTGCGGTTTCGGCAGCCCCCTATGTCAGCTTCGACGCTGACCACTGGCCCGTCCCCGTTACCGCAGCGCCCACTAAAGACGTCGACGGCACCGCGTACCAAGACGGCATATCCCTCCACGACATGGACGATGGCGAACAAATCCTGGAGCACATGCTTGGCCAGGGCAGCCGCCCAGAGGTCGCCGTGGCCATCGCCGTCCGCGGCCCCAAAAATCTCGCGTGCGCGGGCACCGCCTTCGCGATCCCCGTGCGCAAACGCGGGCTCGAGGTTGTCAAGCCTCTGACGACGCAGATTGACGGCGCCATCTACCAGGTTGGTACCAATCAGGTCAAATGTAAACAGAAAGCCCCAAAGCGCCGCGTGACTTGGATCCGCGCTGCCGTACGAGAGACCGAAGCTATTGCCGCGGTGTCCTTACTACACCAACCACTTGAGCACGAGTTCTCACGTGTTACTCCCATCAATGGCGGGCCCCGACAGCGACAGCAGGGCCACAATGGCGGTGGCTCAGCTCAGGACCGCGCGCGGGAAAAAAACAAAGTGTCCACGAAGGACGCAAGGCGCCAGCAACTCGATGGCGCCCTACAAGACATCTTCACGGCCCTCTTCCACAATCATTTCTCTTCTGTCAAAATCCTGGAGCTTTGCATGGCCCGGGGGCGTCCTGGCCGCGAACTTTGGGCACTATTTCGGCGCCGCCACATCTGGCCCGCTGCAGCGTCGCCGAGCGCGCCCTGCAGCGCCTTTCCCCGACGGCCCCCGCGCGGCGCGCATATACGACGCGCGCTGAGGCTGCGGGGGGCCCTCCTCCCAGCCGGCCGCGGCAAATTGAAGCGGAGACCATGCACCACCCCCATGCGCCCCTGGCGCTCGCCCCCGCCAAACACGGCCCCTTCGCGAGCCAGGAAATGACCAATTGGGCGGCGCCCGCAGGCCCGCCCGAAAAGGTCCCCATGGAAAGTCCCACTGGACATCCACCCGCGCTCAGGCGATGGCCCCGCCACAGCCCTTCCGCTTGTTGCGATGACGAGCCGCCCTGGCGCACCGCTGCCGTCACTGGGCGCCGCCGCGGTCGCCGACGCCCGCGCCGCCGCCCAGGCGCCGGGGCCCTGCCACAACCGCGCCCGCAGTGGCAGCGTCGGGTACCAGTCCCACATGCCCCGTCGCCCCAGGAAAATAGGGGAGCTGAACGACGACGGCAGCATTGCGGCCGCCTACGCGAGCGGACCACCAACAGTCGGTTGGACCACGCGACGACTCATGCGGCTGCGCAACGGAGCCGCAGCGGACCCTGCCGAGGCGCCCAACGCCGCAACGATCCCGGCGACGGCAGTGACCCCGATGGGGGCCTCTACCCTCTCCGGGCCCGACTGGCGCCCATCGCTGAGGCCTGGGCCCCCAGAGACGACGGCGTGGGCGTCGTGGCCGCGTGGCTCGACAACTTTTTGACTTGCGTTCCCGCTGTCCTCCAGTTCCCGCAGTTCGACCAGCTTTTCGCCGGCGCGCCGCCGCCCCTTGCCGAGCTTGAGCGCTGCCGAGCTTGAGCGCTCGCGAATCGCCGTCGACATCTACCCCCGCGCCTGGGGTCGCGCCGAGCTGGCTCGCCGCCGCGCTCACGCGGCGCTCGAGCGGCTGCAGGGGCGGGCCAGTCTCGAACGCGTCCTAGAGCTCATGCTCGAGTTCCACTGCGAGCGGGCTCAGCCGGTCGGCCCCGAGGCCCGCTGCTCTCCACTGCCGAGCCACATGCCGCGCGCGCGCGCCCCCCCCCCGCGAGGGCCCCGCCCCCCCGGCGCGGACGCGTTCGCGGAGCTCTGCCGCGCCGCCCCGCTCCAGCCGCGCGAGGAGATTTGCGCGGGCACGGCCGGGGAGAACAGCGCGCTGCACTCGGCGGCGCCCCCCGCGTCTGGGACAGGGGCGCCTCGCGTGGGTGCGCCCAGTAGCTTCGCCGCGCTTAGTGGCACCCGCCTGGGACGCGGCCCGCCCGACGCCGAAGGCACCCCCATTTCCGACGGGCGCGGCCGACGCCCGCGCCCACCACGCGGCGACGCGATGGGCCCGGTGACTTCCGATAGCGACGAGCCCCCCCTCCCCCCCGACCTGCCCGCGGCGGAGGCCCGTGCCCCGGCGCGCTGGCGCCGACGAGTTGATCTGCCCCCCCTTGCAGCGGCGACCCCCGACGCGCGGCGGCGAAGAAGCCTCCTCGGGCAGCGCGCGGACGACCCGCGCCCTCATGCGGCGGCCTCCGCAGATAGGCGCCGCGATGGGGGGCCCGCAACGCAGCCGAGGCCGCGGCTCACCCCTGCGCAGAGAAAGCGAAGTCCTGCCGCCTCTGACTGTCCGCCCTCGTCGATGCACGACGACACTTTTTCTCAGCGCGGCCATCTACCCCCCCGCCGCCGCCGCGCTCGAGGACCTGGCCAACGCTCGCGTCCGCGGCCCTCCGCGCTGGCGGCAGCAGCGGGGCATCGGCAACCCGCTTTGGACCACGCGGGCCGCCTCTCGGTTGCTCCCCGCCTCCTTGCGGCGGCCGCGCCTCGCGCGCCGCCTAAAATCTACGCCGCGATCAGCGCGGCCCAACTGTGCCGACGAGCCAACAGACGGCCAACGCAGCCCCGGACGCTGCGAGCCAGGCCCTTGCCACGGGCAGCCCGCGCCCCAGAGGCCCGGAGGCAGCCCCCCTGCGGTCTGGGCGCGAGCGGGCCACGCCGCGGCAGGGCCAAGTTAGCTCCAATTGAACTAACTAATTCCGAGCCGACAACCTATTCGCTTCAAACTCCAGCGCGCCGACGGACCACCCTCGTCAACCGCGACCGCGCGGTCCACGCCAACGGGGGCGGTCCTGCTTGCGTCGCTCTCTTGCGGCTGCGACGCTCGCCGGTAGTAATGCGCCTGCCGCGGGTGGGGGCATCGGGCGGCGCCGATGGCAGAAAATCCGCAAGGGCCACCCTTCGCCACGCAATGCCGACGCCCACCCCGGTCAGTGCCAGACAGAGGCAGCAGGTGACCACCCCGGTTTCCCCCCTCATGCACGGCTGGCGCGCGGCCTCAGCCGACGCGGCTCTACCATGCGGACGACTGTCAAGTTATTTCTCGCGCGCGGAAGTCCATGCCAACAGCCTACCACGCCTCCCATCAGCAGTTGCAGATTCTAGCTGGTGGCCTGCGAGCCAGGCCGGCGCCTGGCACGAGCGCTGCGCCCAGCTCGTGTTCTGCCGCCTTCGTCAACCTGCTTTCGCGGCGTCCCGCAGTCACCCAGCCCCGATGGGCGCCGACCTTCTGCGCATCACTCAGGCCATGGAACGGCGTCTGCAAGCTCGGCGGCGCGCCGACCCCACTCGCGCCGCGCGCGAAAACTACGGCGGGCGCCACCACCTCCAGCAGTGGGCATTCCGCTACCTTGCAGTGCCCGACGACCATCGCGCCATCGAGCGCAGCGCATCCCGCACACCACGCCGCGAAGGCAGGACAGCGACGGGCACGCGACGCAGACCAGTCACCCGTCGCGTTGGCCTCCCCAGCTCGGACGACGACAACGCCGCCTCCGACGCCGACCCGGAAGCTCAGAGGCAGTGGCTCACAGATCGTGCCCAGTTCACCGACGACCTACTGTCGACCCTGGCATTCCACCTGAGCACAGCGCCGCTGCGCCCCGCTGCCGCGCAGCTGTTCGCCTCGCGCGCGCGGCAGTCGCCCTTGCCGCGCCCTGGCATGCCCACTATGGCTCGCGGCGCAAGGCCGAGCGGGCCCGCCCCCCGCGCGGTTCCAGCATGCGTGGGGAAGCAGCTCCGGGGCGCCGCGGCCGTTCCGTTTCCGCACAGCGCAACGCGGGCCGCGCCGGCGGCCCCGCCAGCGCGGTTCTCGACCGAGCCTTAGCCAACATCAGCGCCCACATCAGTGCCACCTGGGAGGACGAGGTCTCCGCCATAGAGTGCGACTGCAGCATGTCCGCGCTGGCCGGCAGGTTCGCGGGATGGGCCCTTAATGATCCCATCGTGCGCGCTGTTGCACCGCAGCGACTGCGGCCTGGCCCCGCCGCGGCGACTGCGGCCTGGCCCCTACCAGCGGCGCTGCGAGGGACATGACAACGACGCGCCCCGAGCGCCGCTCTTGGGCATGCTCGCCACCGAGAGGCGCGCGTCACTCGACTGGTCCAGCCGCGCGGCGCGCGCAGCTGAGCGTCGTGCCAGCGTCATTCTGGACGACGGCCCTGCCGCAAGCCCCAGGGGGCGCCGCCGTGCGCCGAGCGGCCGAGTGGGGCGCGCAGCACAGCGCCCCCGCACCCGCCGAGCCACCACCTCTCGGCCGCCTGCCCAGGGGGCCGCAGTCCGCGAAGAGGCGGCGGCCACGTCCACCCCGACCGCCCCAACGCCCGCGGGCGCGCCCAAGACGGTCAAGCGCCGGCCAGCGGTTCCAGCCCCGCCGCGCAACCTCTCCGCCACCACCCCTGCCCGTGGGTGGGCGGTCAGCGACTGCGCGGCGGAC